GCAATTAATAGGGTTCCCCGATATTTCCCATATAAGTGTGTACTATCTATCTAAATAACGGACTTGCAATAATTGAAGGCATCAACACACTGTTTGAAATTCCAGAGACCTTGTCGAACACCTTCTGCGATCGATCCAGCCAGTTGTCAACAAAACGATCGTTCAGATCCAGCTTATAGACAACCCCTGCTGAAAATAGCAATATGTAATCCAATCATCTTGGCAGAAATGCGTAAGATTCATCCCAATCCCCATAAATTTTGACAATTGCTTTTTGCTTTGCCTTTCACGTCTTCCTGTATGATATATGAAACCCATGATTTGTTGCTACCCTTTCTTATATTAGAGAAATTTTAACATTGGGCTCCTCCCTTATCTTTTCTGAATGTGGTCAAACAATTATTTATTATTAACTTCCCAAAAATATTAAAAGAAAATGCAGACATCTGACATTTCTAGGATCATTAAACAAATGAAATTAGAGTTCATCTGCTTGTAATCTAAAGAAAAAAAAAACTTTAATAATACATAGTTATAATATCATTGTTGCACTGAGTACTCAGTGCAACGGTTACACTGAAAATTTATTCACATCACCTCTTTGTGTAAAATCGATACGTTATCATTTTTCTTTTTCTTTTTTGAATAATCCATAAGTATTTTTTATGGTAGGTAATTTTATTCGGACTGGGTCCAGGATTAAGGCTTTAAATCTCTTCTAAAAGAAATACAAGAGAGGATCGAATACATACTTTCACATTCGCCTGCTTATCTCTCATGGACTAACTAAACTACTATCATTTGCTAACTGATACTTTATCATAATCTCTCTTATTGTCCTTTTTATTTATCAGCAAGCCAAATGAAATAGTGAAGTATAAAAATCCCTTAGAAATGGATAGTTCTCAATGATAAATTTTAGGGTAAAGGATTTCTCCAGTCAATAGAAATAAGTTATTTTCGGTGAGCCCAAAACGACGTCATTTTGGAGCGAAAATCAAGGTATTTTTGTAATTACAATATATTGCAGGATTATATTAGTCTTTATCATTATAATTTTTTAATCTTAAAACAACGTCATTTTAAACTCGTTGGAGATTTGAAGAAATAATTTTTCGTAATATATAAGGCATGTACCAATCAGTGGGTGTTTTGAAATTGTGATTTACCATATTCGCAAATAGTTACAAAAAGCAAGATTGTTGGGGTTCTTAGGTTTAGGGATTTGTTCCTCATTTACCGCTTCTCTTATTCTCTGCATTATCCTGTGCAACTGAAATTTGGTACTAGCCTTTAATGTTAAAATATATCCTCAATCAATAATTTGGAATTTTGTATATCAGAATGTCAAAATAACAACATTGATAGTGTCCCTTTCCTTCTCCACTAAGCTAAGTTGGATGTGAAGTATAAAATGAACAATAATGTATCAAAAAATAAAAAAAGAATATTTCAGTCTCTCTCATTTAATTACTCACAAGGACATTTATTTCAAGAGATAGGTTATTTTGCCTACTCCCACTTTGCCTACTTTTACCTATCCCTTTCGTTACCGTCCGATTACAGTCTAATCCAATGATCCATATTTACAAAATAAATAAACCATTTTTCCCTTTTCTTTTTCCTCAATTTCTCCCGTGCCCATCCTCTCTCCTCCCTTTTTCTTTGAATTTATTTTCTGGTTGCTGAATTTGTTGATTATTTTGCAGAATATATTTTTTTAAATTTCTGTTCGGTCCATATCTTCAAATTTCTTTTTTTAAATACGATTTTTCATGTTTTGCTGCTTTAGGAAAAGTACCAACCAGAAATTTGCAGTTTCTAAGAAAGAGTTCAATTGGTTCAAGTAAATGTTTCTTCAAATGAATTCACCCATGTCCTTGAGGATTATGAAAATGAATGTTGTTAGGGAAGCACTTTAATTTCCTTAAACCCAGAATAATGTTCATATTGGTATTACCGTTTTGCTGAAAAATTGACATTCTTCCACAATTTTAGATCTTGTTGATAATAAACCATCCTCTGATCCACAATTTCCTCTGATCTCTCTAGTGATAGCAAGATAGAACAAACTGAAACTAAATCAAATTCACAAGTAGATATGAGTGAGTCTAATTCAGAGAATTTCTCAATGACCAAGGATGTGAATGGCATAGAAACTTCTGATGGGGCAGTTTCTAATTCACATGAACCCGTGACTTCAGCGATAATTTAAGAAGCTACACTGTCGTGCGTTCATCTGGCGGCAGAGTTCAGCGATAATGGTAAAAAAAAATAGGTACAGCAGAAAGGAGAGGAGAGAGCATTTTATAGTTCTCATCTCCAACTTTAATTTTACAATTATGTACTACAAAATTATAATCAGCTAGATTGACAAAAGTACAAAAAGTTAACCCGTTTGCATATAATGACAAAAAGCTAATTGGCGGTTCGGTTTATGGATTTGTTCCTCCTTCACCGCTTCTCTAGATTGTCTCCACAGCTGCAATTTGGAACTAGCCTTTAATGTTAAAATATATTGTCAAATCAATAATTTGGAATTTTTCATGTCAGTAAAAATGTCAAAAAAACAGTATTGATATTGTATTTTTCCTTCTTCACTAAGCTAAGTTGGAAGTGAAGTTGTATGAAGTTGACAAACATTGTGTGAGACTAGTTCTATATATGAGTGCAGATATTTATGTGGTTGTAGACCTTATGGCTAATTGCAAACCTAAGGCTAAGTGAAAAAAGGAAAACAAAGAGGATGACATGTGCTTATTTTTTCTTCCCCTTTAGTTATAGCATAGTTTATCCATGCTTCCTCTAGTGGCCTCATTTCTAATTTTCTTCAACCTCAGCTAAATTTACCAACACTGGTATATATCCGATAGCGTTCATGACATGAGATTATCACTCCTGAGTTGGCTAACAATTCACCACTAGATATTTTTATCCTTTATGTTGGATTGTTGGTTATTTCTTCAATGATTCATGACTACTGAACAAGAGAACCTACCAGTGGCGTAGCCACATTGTGGCTAGATGGGGCCTGGGCCGTGCTGATTTTTTTAAAAAAATTATTATTATATATAATTTTATAAGTAATTATTATTTGGCTTCTTCTAAAGTTAAAATTTGGTCCCATCTATGCTCTCTTTCTCAACTAATAGCCTAATATACATTCTGAGTGGAGTTGGAAACCCTAACAGTGTCTTCGTATTTGCTTGCTATTCTCTCAAAGTTAGAAACCCTAATGGTATTTGCTCTTAAATTGGTGCTTTTTTATTCTGAAATTTTTCTAGTTTTCCCTGTGATTGATTTTATTTTGTAAAGATATGCTTGTTAGAGTGGAGTGTCTTTGAGTGTTTTGGTCTTTCATGTTTCCTTAAATATTTGATTCGGCTTTATGACTTTATACACTCTCTCTTGATAAATTATGAAATTATGCAGCATCTCGATGGCTTTTTAGATATGTATGCTAGAATTCATGGTAAATTTTTTTCCTAATAGATTTGTGTAATTACGATAAATGTTTTAATAATTTGATGTGTCAAATTTTTTGGCCCCGACTAAAATAAAATCTTGGCTCCGCCACTGGAACCTACCACAAAGACTCTTGAGTATAAACCAGATTGATATAACGTGTATGTGCTATCATTCTTTCGACTGATGGCTAATTCTTCTCTTACTCTAATAATGTTGGGATATTCAAACACGATGGAATCTTATATTGGTTGAAAATAGGCTGAATGAAATACTATGTAAATGAAAGAACCATGAACATAATACCTTAAGGTTTTGAATTGAGACATGATATCTGACCCACTTCTTGTAATCGGTGTAACTTAGCCTATTCATGGTGGTCTCCCGTTATGGGCTCCTCTCGACTTGCCCAATAGTGATATCAAAGCAAATTGTTGATTTATCTGTGAAATCCAAGTATTTGGATGTGGTGGTTAGTGTTCGAGTTTGATGAGTCAACCAAACACATGATGTGAAGCCAATGACTTGATAAGTGTAGTTAAGTTTTGATGTATATGCCATATTAGCCAAGGACTTGACGAGTATAACAAAGTCTTGATATAAATCTCATAAATACTCAAAAAAAATTCCACTCGAGGGGAAGCCACTGTGGGCTTGAAACTCACACTTAAGGGATGGAATGTTGGAATTCTAATGTGATTAATAAAATATTACATTGATTAGAAATGAATTAAGTGAGAACAATATAAGTGGAAGAACATATAAATTTAACATCTTAAGATTTTAAGTTGAGATGCGATCTCAAATCCACTTATTATGGTTGATTGCCACTTAACCCATTGTTGATAATTCTTGCCCAACAGCCAAACAGGTTTGGATAAACAAAAAGAGCATAAGGAGATAAATGGCTGCATCACGGAGTTCTAATATGATACGGTAACTATAGTGACCGTGAAACGTTTTTCGCTTTCGCTTGCTACCAAGCAAAGGAACACTAAATTGGAAATGCTGCAATTTTTTCTTGTCATTTAACCATGTAGACATTTATATGTATACCAATATAAAGAGGCTATTTCTAGCAATGCAGAAGTTGGTTCCAGCTAATGGGTAAGACATTATAAATCTCATGAATTTCACTTAATGAGCAGACGTTGGAAAACCTGCACGTGAACATCTCAATATCAAGCCTTCTAATAATGTTAGGCTTTAGCAAAGTTCAAATCATCATCAGGAATTGGTCAAGAGAAGTTGGACTCAAGCAAAGGCAAGTTTAAAGCTGAAATGCATTTAAAAAAAGAAGAAGCTAGACTCATGCATCTTTTTACCATACATTACTTACAAAATTCAAGTAACACTATTCCTGTTTTTTAATTGCCATCCCTCAAACTGAAACACTTCAGATTTGCCTGACTGTCATTACTCATTACTATTAAAATATCTATTCTTCTACCAAGGCATACCTATTTTCCTGATTTAAGTGTGAGGGTGAGCGATTATGCTAATGAGTGTACACAAGCATTAGAGAATAACATTCACTAGTCATTGCGATTAAGCTGAAGTAGATATCGAGCATTATGCAGAAGAGCATTGACTTCCTCATTTGAAGCATCAAGTGCATGCAACTCTTTGATTTCTTCCTGCCATTTTTCGACTTGCTCCTTATGAATCCTGCATATTAGAAAGTTAAAAGGATCATACCACAGAAAGCCAAATAATAAATAGTAAAGCAAAAAAGAGTTCTCAGCTTTTAATGTTTAGTGCCAGTGGAAACTTCATAGCTTACATAATCAGTTTCTCTTCAAATTCATTGCTTAGCTCCTTAAACATTGTTTTCCCTGATTCTAGGAGCTCAGATACCTAGACGCAATCCATCATTCAGCATGTCAAAGAGAGTTGAATTTTTTATAGAGTATATAATTGCAAGCTTCACACGGTGTTTAACTATATATAGCTACCCTCTGAGTAAAATTCTCAATATTCTCCAGAATAAGAGAGATATTGAGTTCCATTTCTTCAGATCCAGTTACTTTCGTCTCAAAATCTTCCTCCTGTACATTCTGTAACTGTGATTCTGCTTCATCTCCCGCCTTTTCTTTCACCTGTTTATTGTGGAAAAGAAAAACAAAATGAAATATTACAGGATGCCAAAAAGAACGAAAGGTAAATTCATGACAAAAAAAAAAAGTTAAAAGATGAAAAAGAAAAAAAACCTCAGGTTTCATGCGTTTCCTTGTAGCTCTGTTATCTGTGTTGTCAGTTTGAGTTGACATTGATTAAGCCTACACGAACAAGTGAACCAGACATGATATCAACGTTCTAAAATTTATGCCTATAACCATTACATTTGGGAAAAATCAGCATATACTAGGCTGAATTGCAGTTAACTTGCGAGAAACCCTAGCATAGCAAGTAAATCTGAAGATTCCAAACTCGAGAAGCAAGGTAAAAGCATTGAGGATAGAACCGATACAAATAACACGATATTGAACTGAATGAGAACGCAATCCTGACGCAAAAAACAAATCGAAGACATAAAAAACGAAAGGAAACGGTATGCTGATGTAGATGATTGACTGAGTAGCAAGAATCAACTGATAACAAAAAATTCAGAGAAAAGAAACATAGAAGATCGAACGAATTAGGTTTTCCAATGGATTTGCGTTATGCTTGTAAGAGCGAAGAAGATGAAATGTTTTTACCGTAGCTTCTTTGTTTGTTCGTTCGAATTTCAATCTTGCGAGAGAAGGATTGGACCACAGAGAAGAGCAATTTCAGAATCGGAATGGCTTATTATTGTTTATTCAATTTCAAAACGGAAACTTGATTTTGAAATGCGCGCGCTTCTTCATGTCATCATAATAAATTCATAACTGACTACAGAGTAGCAAGTGGGAACCCGAGATTGGGCTTCTACAATTGAGGCCCAATCATGAGACAACAAGAATGGACAACTCATACAAGGTATTACTAATATCAACAATATACAATGGTGTGAATTTTCAAAATCATTTCATATACATACCAATAATGAATTTAGTCTTTGTTTGTTTAAGTTTTTTTCAGGAAAATTATTTTTTTAATTATTACAATAATTAAAATTTAAAAAAAAAACATAAAAAAAATAGTTTAAAAATTATTTAAGAAAGAGAAAAGTATTTCTGGGATTTATCTCCAGTGAGCTCAAAACGAAGTCATTTTGGGATTATAAGATTAAAAAATTATAATGATAAAGACTAATATAATCTTGCAATATATTAAAATTATAAAAACACCTTAATTTTTGCCCCAAAATGACGTCGTTTTGAATTCACCGGAGATATTTTAAAAAAAATCAAAAGGGGTAAAACAAAAGAACTTAAGTAAACGACAAGTTTGTTTGCTTCTTTTTAAAGACGAAAATATATTTCAAAATTTTTATGATAATTAGATATTTTAAAAAAAATAGTAATTTTAGTACATTTATTATGAGCTAAAAAAATAGCTTCAGAAAATAAATCTTGCAATATTTATATCATAAAATTATTTTATTAAAAAATTACCCAAAATTCATATCAGAAAAATATAAAATAAAAATTAATTTTATCTAAGCGTATCATTAAAATGTCGGTTAAAAAAGGGAGGAAAATGTTCAAAACATATGCAAAATTAATGGGCTGTAATAAGCTAACATAATTTTGGGTTACCAACCAATGACCTGTTACTAGGTCTTGACGAGATTGGGCTTTTACAGATCTGGCCCAATTATCTAATATAGGCGACATTATGGACAATTGGACATTGTCAAAATCATTGATCCATAGGATGTATGGGCATAAAGTGCAAAAAGCAAATGATGAGCAAAAGGGATACTGATTTCAGCATGTCCATGCCAATACCGATATGATCCACACGTAGGTGACGGGCATTGGTGAAATTAGTCATGTTGCGTGTTTGCTTGGTATGAAATTCTTAACAATACAATATCAACTTTTTATGGAAAAAAAACAAGATAGAGAAACAATCTGGGAACAAATGCTTGTCATTTTGGTTTTCTAAATATTTTTTCTCAAATAATCTTATGTTATTTTAGCACGATATGGAGATAGAAGAGTTCTTTTCCTTATCAGTACATTAGGATTAGGTTCGCATGGTTTAATATCTTAGGTCTCACACTATCAGAATGAATAATTATTTACGGTTATCCTACTATATGCTAGTTAGGATCTTCTAGAAAATTTCTACAATACCATAATATTTATTTTAGTACAAGATCATTCTTCTAAAATGATTATATATAATTACAAAATAATATTTCTACAGTTATTGCAGATAAGTTATTTGCATTTCCTTCTAATACGACGTCGTTCTGAAATGAAAAATTAAATATTTATAATTATAAAGATTATAATAATCCTGAAATAAATTAAAATTATAAAAACACCATAATGGAAGCCTTAAAACGACGTCGTATTAGGCTTAGTGCAGATAACTTAAGTAAACCATATAATTATAGCTTCTTCACCCTAAGCATCGATCTAACCCCATTTGTATACCCTACTCTATTTTCTTACAAACTTTAGCATTAATTAGAGTATGTGCAGGAACAAGACATCACCATTCATGTAACCACACTTGAGCTTCAACATGTGATCCATTACATTCTATAGTACACGAAACCAAACGGCCAAAAAACTGAATGCATGGGTCCAATGATCAAAAGCACCTTTTGATTGGTTCTCTATAATCAAACCATGCATACACGTCTTCAGTTTATGGTGGGACCCCTGCATGGCACGAGGCAAAGTTATTCACGTCGATCATTTCGTTTGCTTTGTGCAGCTTGGTTGATATATGTCTGTGTCTATATAAACACCGTCAGAGTTTGCTATTTTGCAGTAAAGAACCAAAATCTCTTTGTATCTCAAAGGATTCATCTCGTTTGATTATTGAGCCATGGGGTTCCAAAATTTGGTTTTGATGGCTTTCATAGTGGCTTTGTTTGTTGCTCAACATGGGAATTGCAGGGTTGGACATCACCATCATCATCATCATCGTCACCACCACCACTCAGCAGGGAAAAGAGTTCACGATGGTGGTAATGGCTTCGTTCAGCGAAGTGGCACCCGTTTTATTCTGAATGGGAAGCCACACTACTTGAATGGTTTTAATGCATATTGGTTAATGTATATGGCATCCGATCCATCTACAATGCCAAAGATCACTTCTACTTTCCAACAAGCTTCCCAGCATGGTTTAAACGTAGCAAGAACATGGGCATTCAGCGACGGAGGTTATAGAGCCCTTCAGATTTCTCCTGGTTCTTATGACGAGAATGTCTTTAGGGTACTGCATCTTAATTAATTCCTTTTTGTTTTAAATGTTGTTTCTCTGGATAATTTTTACAGAACTTAATGCAGATATATATTTTGATAGATATAGTTAATGTTATTTGAAAATCAGTACTCATATGTAAGATAAAAAAAATTGATATAACCCCAGCTGGCCAGATTGCGACGCGTTGACTATGATCATATACATATTTATTATTTAACTAACCATTTAAGATTTATTTTTATTTTTATTTTTGGTGAATTACATGTGTAGGGACTAGATTTTGTGATATCAGAAGCAGGAAAATATGGAGTGCGACTGATACTGAGCTTGGTGAATAACTGGAATGATTATGGAGGCAAAAATAGATATGTTCAATGGGCAAGAGAACACGGCCAGAATGTGAACAATGATGATGACTTCTTTACACACCCCGTTGTTAAGCAATATTACAAAGACCATATTAAGGTAGCGTAGATAAAAACTCTAATTCTTGTATGTATTTTTATATACATAGAAACTTATTGCATTCTTTTGACAATAATAGATTTTTAAAATATTTTTTCCATAAATCCATCTATATATAATTAAATAGTTTTTCATATACCCAAACATATATTTTTAGAATATCATTTCTTAAAATACACGCTTAATTTAGATGAAATGAATGTTGTTCGTGCATAATTAAATTAAGTTGTGCCCTGACCAACTTGTTTTTTTAGTTTTATTTAAGAATGGGTCAGTCCAAATTCACGTCTGCTATTGCTCATACCCTCATTACGTATATATAATCTATGTAGTATGGCTTGAGTAGCCATACACATGGAGAAGCAGCACTTATGCGTCTCTATTAATTATATTCTTTTTCAAGCCACTTGGACTGGAGTAATGGTAATGATTTTGGTAATAAGTACTCTCTAAGGTTCGAACCTTAAGTAAAAATATCTGATTGATAGATATGACGTATGCCCAACAACTTAAACCATAGATTTGGGGGATTGCAGGCTATACTAACAAGAAATAACACCATAACCGGGCTGGCATATAAGGACGACCAAGCCATTTTCGCATGGGAGCTTATGAATGAACCTCGTTCCCAAAGTGACTACTCAGGAAAATCAATTCAGGTCCTTTTCTTTCCTACTTGCTTGTACTTATTGAACACTCTACTAGCAAAGACAATTATTGCGTACGCAATCATTGTCTTTGCTGTGTCCAAGTGTAAATTATGTGATTGTGCTAGCGTTTCTTTGTCGAGCTTGACACGTAATTACAAAAGGGTCTTATTTACATATCTCTCACCACTCAAAGAAATACAATTGTTATGATACACTACAAACATTAATTATTACAGGATTGGGTGGGTGAGATGGCGGCCTATGTCAAATCCATCGATAGCAATCATTTGCTGGAAGTAGGGCTTGAAGGGTTTTACGGTGAATCAATGCCAGAAAAGAAGCAGTTTAATCCTGGATACCAAGTTGGAACGGATTTCATTTCCAACAACCAAGTTCCTGAAATTGATTTTGCTACCATTCATCTTTACCCAGACCAATGGTAAACTCTATATAAATTCATATTTATTAACCTTATTAAGTTTGATACCACCGGTGACATGAACCAATCGGGAACATGGATGCAGGTTACAAGGCTCAGACGAGGCAGCCCAAGATGCATTTGTTGACAGATGGGTCCAAGCTCATGTCCTTGACTCAAATGATGTTTTAGGAAAGCCCATTCTTTTAAGCGAGTTTGGAAAGTCTTCGAGGTCGTCTGGATATACTGTAGATGAAAGGGATCGTTACTTTGACAAACTATACAATGCTATATACAGTAGTGCTAGCAGTGGGGGCGCATGTGCAGGTGGGCTTTTCTGGCAGCTCATGACTCAAGGAATGGATGGCCTTAAAGATGGCTATGAAGTCATCTTCGATGAGAGTCCTTCAACTGCCAATGTCATCACTCAACAATCTATCAAGATATCTAATCTCAAATAGCAGAATGCCAGGAAAAATTCACAAATAATCCATTCTTCTTAGCCATCACAAATCGTGCTTGGTATAATATCATATATAGAACACATAAAATGAAAATAAAATTTCCTTTCATTTAATAAATGTCCCTCTTGGTTATAGCATATTTAATCTGTCACTTAAATCTACCAACACTATTTATTACATCCGATCGTGTTCACATGAGATTGCCACTCATTAATTGGCTTAACGATGTTTTAACATTTTCTCCCCTTTATGTCTTCAATGATTCATCACCAATGAATAAGAGATCCTACCATAAACTCGAAAGAGGCATAACATGCATATACTATTGCACTCTTCCTTCCATAATTCCTTTCAATAGCTGGAGTGATAATAACGATAAATTGTAATTTTCAGGAAAAAGGTAGGTACAATTCTCATCGTCTGGTTCTAAGCAGTTGGATCTCAAATAATTTGATTAATCTCTATTTGAGTGGCGTTTAAATCATTTTAACTCTGGAAATTTGCTAAAGCATTTCATACTATTCAAATCGACGGTCATTTCTTCGCATACGGTAATACCAAGTTCATTGGCAGAATCACAACCTTAAATATTTCAATTGTTTTACAGATTGATGGATTTAAAACTAGAAATCAAAGACGAGGAGAACCTCGTAATCAATCTAATGAACTACACCTATAGATCCTATAATCAATTCTGAATCAAACAGAACTAAAATAAACAAACAGAACTAAAATAACTAAAAGACATGCAACATCGCTTAATAGTGTAACCTAATGCCTAATGGATATAGTGGACAGTATTCTTGTCCACTAGACTACTCAATTTAGCAATCAGATATTGTTCCTTCGGCACTTACGTACCATATTTGTGCCCCATGTCAGAGCCAGCTTCTCATAACATACAGGGTAGAAAGAAATTGACTAAAGGATGCCGCTATTTTGCCCATGAGCTAGCAGTTTGCAAACTAGCATGTGCCTGCTACATTTAGGGCATTGGCCGGACAAGGGAGAGAAGGAGAGGATGTAGGTAGACAATTTGTAAGAGCAAATGCCAACTGTACATTGATATAATATAAGCATTGCTAAATTATTTATCAATTCTAAGATTGTTACATAGATGACCAAGCTCAGGTCTTGCATCCATCCATGCAGCAAATTTCATTTTGGCAGGGGAGGTACAGTAAAGATAAGATCTGAATGTGATAAGAAAAAAATACCGCCTGCAAATAAGGGGAAAAACATAAATGGCTACACAGTAAAATAACACATTCCCTACATCAACATTCAATAAATTTAAAAGCTACCAATTTCTTACAAAATTCACCAGTGGATTGAAAGTTTGTATAATGTTCATCATGTTCCGAAACTTCATTAATCCAACACTGTTTTCTACTCTTATCAAAATCTATTAAAATTAATGTATAATATACTTTTCATAAAAACTAAAATATTAGTCATTTGATCATATACTTATTCTTGTTTAAACTTTCTAAAATTTGGCATGCAAGATCTATATATTGGTTATAATTCAACAGTAGTATTGATCAAAATCATTTTCTATAGGTTATTGAGTGGTGTAACTCTGCCAATTCTAACACTATTTTTGATTGATCCCCAACCTCTATATATATAGCAACCAGCATCCACGAGGGAGGTGATCCATTCTCTACAAAACTTAAGGGAATCAAAAGGAAAAGGAAGAATTCAACTGGATTAGGAGGGCGCATCTCAGTTGCTGAGCAGGTAAGTTTACCTCAAAGCCTTGATACCCATGTCCATAAGATATGCTCGTTCCTCATCATCATCATCCGTAAACTTCACAAATTCTTTACTATAATAAAGAATATCATCTCGTAGATGCCCTGCACCTGCACATCTATTGAACAAAGAGAAAAATTCAGTACCTCCAATGAAAAAAATAATTTAAGCAATGTTGCCAGATCAAATTTCCCTTGAAGATACATTGATGCAAAAACTACTAATTTCATATCATAAGTGAAAACAAAAAAAATAATTGCAAAGGTAAAATTAGGTCAGTAAAAGTTCCCTTTCAACCCAAGAAAAGGGAATAGACATGGAGAATACTATATTTCCAACAATATACATTTCTACATGAGAGAATATAATTACTGTATTCACTTTGATGATGAACATGTTTTCTTAAAGGTAATATCAAATAATTAGTAAATCTCATGATCAACTTTTGGCTGATAACCTTTCAATGACAATGTCAACATCTGCTTTGCTTTGGGGACCATATATGAGGACTCTTGTAAGGCTCAAAATGTCTCGATAATCACCCATCTTGAGTGCTGCTTCATTAGAAGATCGAGAGGGCAAGTTCTCCTCAGCCGCTGCATATTGGTGAGGACCAAACAATGGCTGTGGGACTTTGGATGCAAATTTTGTCTCTGCACCGAGTCTAATACAGATGATGGCCATTGCATATCCAACTCCGCCAAAACCTGTGTGTGATACAAAAAGGTAACTCTCTGCAGAGCTACAGAAAGCAAGAGTTTAGAAGTTTACTATTATATTTAAACTATATAATTACTTTAAAAAATTATTATTGAGTATACTGATTCTAAACAGTATGCATATAGATGCGCACAAAACCGACTAAGAAAAATGCTACTATTCGTAACACATCAGATAGAAGCATACATTTTGATAATCCAAACTGCTAGAATATTGTTAAAATATGTTAAGAGTATTGTAAGCATTTAAGGAAAGATATCATCCATATATTGCAGAATCAATCAGGATTTAGGAGCCAAACTAGGATTATGTATATTAGGGGACTGAATCATTAAATTTAATATTCACGCTAATATATATAGAGAATATGTGTGGACTGTCATAGACCCAATTTCATACTATCTAGTTTACTCTTTTAACTTCAAGTCAAACCATTACCAGAATCTAATGATCACATTTTGGAGAGAAAGTAAGCCCCCTAAATTACTAGCAACCATAGGTTGGTTACTATATCCATGTACACATTCAGCACACAAAAAAATAATATAAAATAAAATAAAAAATCAGCAAACTTTACCGAACACATAATACTAAACTTCCTAGTAGGGATTCTTACTCATCTTTACAGTACTGTATTGCATCAATGTCACAGGCCAAAGCATCTCGCTCCCTCGTTAATGGTATCCTCCTATAGACAATATCATATCCCTCATCTTTCAAAGCAGAATAAACTTCTGCAGGTGTTTTCACATCATTTGCCGAAATGTTTTCCCAATAGCCAACTACACCAGACTGATTTGTTGAAGGGTTGTATTCTTCGCGGTGAAACAGCATCAGCCCACCAGACTGTCTAATCTCAGCTAGTATATCTTCTTTCAATCGTGCTTCCATGTGTTCCACCTGCATTGCGGTTACCATGAGTTGTGCAACACATTGCATTTTGTGATATGTTCCAATAGACACATTATTGTACAAGATGACACACCACAGGACCAGTGATTCCCACATGCTTGAGCGTATCAACAGGTTTGTTTAACTCCCTCAGGACAAAGGGAGTGCCATTGATATAAACAACTGCTTCCTCTCTCAGATCAGTCAATATCACTTTTCGAGCAGCTGAGTCTTTTGCTTTAGGCTTAGCACCCAAATATGCTAGCATCTCCTTGGCACCAGAGATGGTTGGAGTTGCCATGCTATACACAGGGTATTCATCAACCTTGGGAAAAAACAAAAACTTTAGGCATAATGACATTTCCCAAATTCACCATACCACATTATACATCCATTGATTATTCTCTTCACGTATTGAGAAGAAGAAAAATAAGAAGCATGCGCTAGTGCGCACACACAAAGAACAAATCATAAAAGAATAGGAATTGCAAAAAAAAAATTCTTAAAAGAAAATAAAAAAAATAATCCCTTCAACACCAAAACCACAAGGTTTGGTACTCACAGGTAAAATTATACATGCTAAAATAAGTCATGTTAAAATATAGAAAATCTATAAGAAAAATGTTAGGAAACCTCCTATCGTGAGGGTGTATGTCAAGAAGAATTGTAGGGGATTAGAGCCCGAGCAGGAAAGGGAATTGGCATGACTGAGGGTTTACATATGTAAAACAATGAAGGTAAATACATATAATAGTCTTATATTGTTTTAAAGCTTATAAATTTTTGGATTGAAAGAAAAAATAGATATTAGATACATAAATTTATGGATTAGAATTCATGATGATAATACTAAATTATAACTGTATTTTGATTGCTTCAATCCAGTTTTGACCAATTCATTACTGTTCCTAATCTACAGAGGCAAAAGAAGGATAACTAGCCAGGCTAGTTCACTATTCAACAGGTTAATCTGGCCAGTTACAGTTTTTAAAACAATGAAACCAGATTTTGGACACAGAAATCCCTAATCCATTGCACTTTTTATTGCATCATGATAAAGCTACCAAAAATGTTGATAAAAAAAATATGGAGTTATAATTTACAAATCCATATAACAACACTCAAATTTAATAAAACAATATGACAGTGGAATATGAAATTATCCAATTACAAGATAACAAACAACAGAATAAAATGTGCAATCTGAGTTGTGACGACAACACTCTTCACCAAATAACTTTACACCATAAAACACATTAAAGATGCCAATTCTACCTAAAAATTGGATGATCCTGTAGGTCTCCACTGGACGTGTAGCCTTACCCTCTGGATCACAAATCTGATGATAGTTAGTTTCTATAGCAGTACTTGCATAAGTAAGCTTACCTTGTAAACATGTGGTGCACCAGGTATTTGTATGTGGCTGGAAGTTCTCTGACCAGGAAAGAAATACATTTTCAATATGGATCCTTTTCCCAGAACAGAACCACTTCGGGCCTTAACAAAAGCCTCCATCACTGCATCTCCATGCTGAGACTCTTGTGGTGCTCTCAACTCTTCCTACAATTAAAATTGTCAATTGGCTTAATCTTACTTCAAGCCTTTCAGGTGGCAGGGGGAAAACAATT